TGAAGTAAATTTTGATTCAAATTTTTTTGTGAGTTGGATTCGGACAGAATATGAATATACAAAATGGAGTAATACTTTAGAAAAGTGGTACAGTGAATATAAGGAGTTTAGTAATAAGGAATTGGACCTGAAGGAAGAACTTTTGTTTCTATGAAAGGAATTACGTAGCTTGTCACATAGATCGAAGTCAGTCGCTGGTCCGAGGAGAATTCTGCTCGATCGAAATTGAGATCTCAGATCAACGCCAGGCGCGAATGCCGAAACATACCCTAAAGTGCAAACAGTGACACTTCATATTCGCAGTGCTTAGATGACTGATTGTTTTAGTAATTCGGTCCCGTCAAACTACTAGGGTATATTATGCTCGTAATAATAGCCAGTTTTTCGAGAGGTGGCGGGCGCTCTTCCCCGAGGCCGGCGCCGTCCTACCGTCGGCTAGCGAGTTTTCCCCAAGCAGGTATCTCCCAGCAGGGTTCAGCCTTCGAATGGAGATAGTTCGTTCCAATGTTTGTAACTGAGCGCCCCCCGGTCAGTGTTGTGGTCTTCCGTTCGTTATAGATCGCTTTGGGTTGGCGCCCCATCGGCGCCGCGCCGCGACGTCACGCGCGCCTCGCATGGGGCGATCGCTTCTTTGATTAACGGGCGGCGTTCAGCGAGGAAAGCGATGCGTCTGCGATGCGCCGGATAATAAGCGGCTGTTTGACTAATTTATGGCATAGTTGTCAATGCAATTCACGACACAGTCATCAATTAACTCCTGGATTTGCGAGATTAAATCCTGTGCGATATGGCAGCAATAGCACATTCGTTTTTGGGATTGATGCCGTCCGTAATTTATAATTAGAAGAGAATGAGAGCAGGATTCTGCCGCAATTTCGGGAAGAAGCTTTCAAGTCTAACGTCGATTCGTGGCACTTGTGCTTTCGTGAAATTTACTTGTTTATCTGTATTGTGTATCAATTTCAGAGAAATGTTATGAAATCTTACGAGACACATATTATTTTCTCTACGTACATCATACAGAATGTACACTAGGCATGATCTTGCGTAGACATTCGCCGCTACGGCTGAGTTTGTAATGTCTAGCTTCAGGGACGAGCCGCGTCGTGTCAAGTGGTGACGTTTCGGCAACATGTTGTGGCCTTCTCGGAGGGTCTGGCTTGCATTTCCGCAGTGTCAGAAGTACGCTTTGGAGGGAAGGCACAACATGGTTGGGCCGAAATGTTAGCCGGAGACAAAGACATGGCTCGTCGGATAGCATAGATAATATGATTAAAGTTTTGGCTAAGAATGAAAAGTTTTTTTTCTCAAGTGACAACAGTCGCTACCACTGTTTATGGACGCAAGGTCTCGGATTCGTGCTCTGACGGGTGGCAGACTTTTTACAGTACAGGCATCATTGTTGTGTTGTATTTAACCTCTGTATTCACGAGAATTCTAATAGTTGTCTACGTCTCATTATTAGTTTTTCGGGGTAAGTTTTCTTAGATGAGTGCAAGCGAATGAGGTACTAATAC